ATCCTGGTTGTTGTTGCCATGGCCTATGAAGAGCAGAATCAAGCCACCATGGAAGAAGCTGAGCAGAAAGAGGCTGAGTTCCAGCAGATGCTGGAACAGCTGAAAAAACAGCAAGAAGCGGCTCAGGTATATTTTTGATAGGAAATAACTGGCCTTAAATGTACAATAAATAAGCTTATAGAGGAATGTAGCAAATGGAGAGAAGCCTAACAAAAAACTGTTACTCTTTAAAGCAGGATGAGAAACATGACTTTCCAGATGTTGTTGATCTTCAACCACATTCCTCAGTCCAGCCAGCATGACCAATGCTAAAAGTCTATGGCAGTTACATTCCAACAACATCTGGAAAGTCATGCAGCAAAACTATACAGTTCTCATACTTACCTATAGGGTTAGGATTATCTGACAATATTTATCCAATGTTATAATTCTAGTTTACTCACAGAGGAAAAAAAAACTATACAAGATAATAATTCAAAGGCTAGAATGAAAAGGTCAAATTATGGTGTTGCTTGGCTACAATTAGCTCATTTACTGCCTGGAGTTCCCATAAAAAGAAAGAAATGGGACATTTCAAATGAGTTCCAAGTTAATATTATAGCCCACAAGAGAGTTAAAAGAAAGAAATATCCTCATGTACAACCTGATATGTTCATACAAGACTGAAGTACAGGTAGTCCTCATTTAGCAACCACAGTGGCTAAAATGGTCGCTAAGTGAACCACGTGACTGAGAGGGATAGAAGCTACAAAGATTACTGGTTGCTGCCATCTCATTTAGATAAAGTTCTCTTGTGCAATAGCATCAGTGTTATTCCCACTCTGGTGTGCATTGTCGTCAGGCACAGAACTTTGAGCCTAAGTGTGTGCATTGGTCGAAAAATGATTTTTTAATTACCATTTACTACTGTTTATTACCACTGTGTTTGTGAATGTTCCCTATCTGAGGCAGTTGCTAGATGAGGAGTACCCGTACACAAAGTTACTAAGCTTGGGGAAAGAAATAAAGAATATTTGACTTAGGGAAAATCCAGCTATGTAACGGAGGCTGTCTGGGAGATGATACACTTCGCTTATTTTCCAGCCTCGGTCCAGCAATTTCTGCTTGGTTTTAAAAGGATCAAAACTTTTTCTGCACCCAGGAAAGAGAGGAGCTGGGGTAAAAAATGGGTGGCCATACAAATCTTTTAGATACATACATACATACATACATACATACATACATACATACAGCTTGTCTACTGTGCCAGGTAGTGGGTGAGTAGGGGATTGTATTTTCCAGCCTCGGTCCAGCAATTTCTGCTTGGTTTTAAAAGGATCAAAACTGTTTCTGCACCCAGGAAAGAGAGGAGCTGGGGTAAAAAATGGGTGGCCATACAAATCTTATAGATACATACATACATACATACATACATACATACATACATACAGCTTGTCTACTGTGCCAGGTAGTGGGTGAGTAGGGGATTGCTTAAGATGTCTTTTTAACCTTCTTGCTACGTATTGCCAGTGCCACTTAGCTGGAATTGGGGAGTAAGTTATCATTTTAATTCCTAATTGCCCAACCCAGGCATTTGTGATGGGAGGTTAAGCAGGCTCTGTGGGTTGATTAGCTTTACTATTGTTTTTTACTGTAAGCTGGAATTGATTTTTGTGACCTCAGGCATTTGTGATGTGGTTTGTGGTTCTAATTCTTGTTGGTTTTAATTCTTGTACGCAGGCTAGAGCCATTATTTTGAGATGGGTGGCCATATAAATTGATTAAACGAACAAACCTATCAGTGCTAGGGAAGATGAATACTGTCATGCTTCCTAGCAGAAACTGTATGACATCCTTTTAGTACTGAGCGTCTTAAAGGAGCTTAATAGATCTGGTGCAGGCAGCCACTTAAAATAATGATCCTCTTTGTCCCTTGGCCTTGAGAAAAGTACTGCAAACCTACTGTAACAAGTAAGGATGCAACTGCTGTTTGGATCCCAGTGCCATTAATTTAGTGTTGCTTCAGAATGGCACGTATGAGGAATGCTGGTAGGGAATCTAAAATAAGGATTGTCCTGATTGCTCCATGTAAGGCCATCCATCCTGTGGCAGCTGCTGAGATGATTCCAGTTGCCTCTTTATGCTGCTGCCCCTGGGACAATGGGACACCAAGTACAAGTAGGACACTGAAACCACTTTGCCCAGGGCCTCACAAATATGAAACCAGCCTTTCTATTACTCCTTTTAAGTGATAGGAACCTGGTTGTTAGAATGTATCAAAAGGAGATAATCTAAATATCACTTAGCCAACTAGGTAGAGAACTAAACTTGGAACTCTCTGTACCATAAATGTTTTTTGCACTTCTTGTGTTTTTATAAGGTTTAAAAAAGATCACTTAGCATACATTTCTTAAATTAGAAATGTATGCTAAATACCAAATAAATATAATAGGTAGAGGGATATTTATAAGCATAAGTACAAGATAATAATAAATATTTCTATTGCTTTTAAAAAATCTAAATGTGATATTACTAATTTTTTTTCCTTGTGGATTTTTCATATTTAAATTAAGAAAGTTGCCCTTTTCACAAGACCACTAAAATACAGCTACTAATGTTTCATGGCAGGCAGTGGCAATAGCTGCAGCAACTGTATCGGCAGAATCTAAAGATCCCAGCGCAGGAGGTAGAACGGGGGAACTTTCAGAAAGTTCTTCTGAAACATCAAAATTGAGTTCCAAGAGTGCCAAAGAGAGGAGAAATAGAAGGAAGAAGAGAAAACAAAAAGAACAATCTGGTGGAGAGGAAAAAGATGAAGATGAGTTTCACAGATCTGAATCTGAAGATAGTATCAGGAGAAAAGGTTGCCGATTCTCCATTGAAGGGAATAGGTTAACACTAGAAAGGAAACATTCTTCTCCCCACCAGGTAAACTGTTATAATCATGGAACTTACTCATTACTGTCTCTGGCAAAATTGCAGTCATGTTATGCTGTGAGCATATTGGAGGGGGCTGATCTTTTACAAAACAAACACTTTTGCCCATTCATATCTGCCACTGGGAGGTTGAAATCTTCTGTTTTTAAATCTAGGAAAAGTGTTCTAGAGAACTGATTTTTCATGGAATACAAAGTATCCCATAGAGTTGTTGAAAACATCATTTGAAATACTAAGAGTTTACACTAACTCCTGATAATTTTGTCATGTTTCTTATGGTCCAGTCATGAGACTTATTAAGCCTACTTCAGTGATAAATGCAGTGGCAACATATCATAATCCTTACTACTAGTATCAAAGAGGTATATTGTATTCTGGGCAAATAATTTTAGATATTGAGAATCAAGATAAGCAAAGGCATGTGTAGAGATATTGAAAGACAATGTTTTAATTATAGCAATGAGCTGGAAACTTCCTCTTCAAAAATCTTGTTTACTTTTTTTTTAATCTAACAAGTCTGTAGTACCCTGAGCCTTTTTTACAGTCATTTTTGCAAAGGAGATATTCAACTGCATGTTTAGTTAGAAGGCAATCACACTGAATTAAATGAGCTTATTCCCAAGTAAGCATGGATAGAATTTGAAGCCTTAGCATAGGTAGTAAACCAATTTTGTCCTCAGGTATTTGGGAAGGAGAGTTTTAATAAATATTGAATTTTTGGATATTTATTTGAAGATTTCTTTCTCAAGTTTCTCTCTTTTAGTAGCTACAACTTAGTGAAACACAGAGATAGGAACTCTAAGAGCAAAATCTGCTGTACAAAAGGACTGTCTTAGACTATATTTACATTCTGTATGTGTGTGTGAAGGGCAGAATCCTTTCTTTTTATCAGTAAAGGTAGGAGTGAGATGGTTTGCTAACTGTTCTGTCTATTTGACTTCTCTTACAGTCTTTGCTGAGCATGCGTGGCTCGCTGTTTTCCCCACGGCGCAACAGCAGAACAAGTCTTTTCAGCTTCAGAGGTAGAGCAAAGGATATAGGATCAGAGAATGACTTTGCTGATGATGAACACAGCACTTTTGAAGATAATGATAGCAGAAGAGATTCTCTTTTTGTGCCGCGCAGACATGGTGAACGGCGCAACAGTAACATTAGTCAGGCCAGTAGGTCATCCAGGATGCTGGCAGTGTTTCCAGTGAATGGGAAGATGCACAGCACTGTGGATTGCAATGGGGTGGTTTCCTTGGTTGGTGGACCATCTGTTCCTACATCGCCTGTTGGACAGCTTCTGCCAGAGGTGATAATAGATAAACCAGCTACTGATGACAATGTAAGGAAGTTTTAAATAGTTCAGGCATGGTGGCCTTTTCTTAATGCACCAGCCAGTGTTTCTACAGAATGGAATCCCTGGGAATGATCCTTGGTTGGTCAAGCTGTGAATGCTCCTGCATCTTGTAATATTTTTTATCTACTAATGAAATCAGTCTTAAACATTAATATTTGCAAAACAAACAATGAAAAAAATATCTGGAAAATGTGCAAAATATTTTGCTTTGTGTGTTTTATATTCAGAAAAACCTTGCCAGATCTCCTTTATCTGGCTCTGAATTAAATGTGTCTGGCCAGGAACATCTTTCTCCGTAACCAAAAGGAAGTTAAAACTTTTGATGCCATATGGATTCTAACACTGCCTTGGTTGTACATACATTTGATTACATTCTGTCTTATGAACATCATTACAACATACAAACAATGTGGCTAGAAGTTCTGGTTCCCCAAACATTGGTAAAATCACTCCAAAATTTCACTTTATATATTCAGCATTTTCATGCATCTTTTAATCTGATGCTTAATCTTTGGCTGACAAAACAAATATATCTAACTGAGATACCATATTGGTGTACATACATTTCAAGTTACAGTGTGTCAAATATGTGCTTTCCTATGCACACCTTTTAACTTTCTATATACAAATAATAGGACCTTTTATGCCAATTTGGAGAAGCATGACAATGCTGGATTATTATTTTTTTCATTTCCTTTGATTAAGCTTGAATGAAAAGCTTGCTGTCCATCTTAAATACAGAAAATAAGCAAGTGACATGTCATTAATTTTCCACATCATCCAATGTTTATTGATAACCTGGAATTTATGCTGTAATCCTAAGTATGGGAAATGATCGCAAGTAAATGATTATAGATTTTTATAGATTTATAGCTGATGACTAATCAATTGCATTTCTTCTGCCACAAACTGTCACCTTTTAAAAAAAGAGTATGAGGATGTCTACAGAAAACAGCATAAATCTCAAAGTAGTATACATAGGGGGGAAATCTACATTTGGCAAAGTTTAATATGTTTTCCAAGGCTACAGTCCTATGCATCCTTACTTGGATGCAAATGTCAATGAAATATAGATTGAAATGGATAGGTAAGTGGGATTTTTGCAAAACTAATAAGGATAAACAAGACAGGTTAAGAAACAAAACAAATTTGAAGCAATCATGGAAAGTTTCTTGAGGATCATTTGAGAAGTGTAACAATGAAGTTGCAGAAATGCGAACACATTTCTTACAACTATCTAAGAATATACTGAAATACCAGGTTAATAATTCAATAAGTAGCAAAAGTTTGGCATGAAAAACTAAGCATAATTCAAAAGCATGATGCATGTATGTCTTCAAAATGAGAGATTCTTCATATGAGTTATGTTGAACTGCCATTTTCAGGATGATCTTACATTACACCCTCTTTTTTTCAGGCCACAACAACAGAAACAGAATTGAAAAAAAGAAGATCAAGTTCTTTTCATATTTCTATGGACTTTTTGGAAGACCCCACTCTAAGAGAAAGAGCCATGAGCGTAGCTAGCATAATCACAAACACCATGGAAGGTACAGACATACTGATGGCAAGGAATTCAGCTAACAAAGGGTTCACTTATTTTTATATAGGATCAGGATGATCAAACAAATCAGGCACAAAACTGAATACACATGCAAAAAATATAAGAAATAACTATTGTTTTTGATAAAGTGAGTTGGGGGGGGAATCCTACATTCTGTAATAACAATAGCAAGATTCAGTAATATGAGAACAATTCATATTTCTGGTTCCTACTAGTACCAACCTTTATACAGACCTCCATAAGGACTAGCATAGGAGCTGCCTCTTCATATATGAATTTCTGTAGTATATGACATATTTCAATAATGCTTTAGATGTGAATAGCCATTATGGTTAGTTCCCATGAATGAGTTTATCTTCTACAAATTTAATTCCCTTTTAAAGCCATCAGAGCTAGTGACCATTGCCATATTTTGGTGGCACCAAATTCTGTAGTTGCCTATCCTGAATTTCCTTCTTATCAGTTTTCTCTGGTGATCTTCATTTATAATACTGAATTATTAGAGAGGAAAAATAATGTTTATCTACTTCCACTCCATGAGGTATTTAGTTACATTTGCCTCCTTATATCTATTCTCATCATTTTCTAAGCCAATCCCTTCTAAAAATTGTAGTGTTTCTTCATAAAGAAATTGTCTTGCACTTCACATTATCACTTTAGTCCTTCTTTATTGTCCTCTTTCCAATTTTACAGTTCCCTTTTTAAGTATAGTGATCTGAACTGAAGACATGGCAATGAGACATTGGCCTTCATCTTTAGAAGAACTTCCTTCAGAGTAGACATAGAGTAGTAAAACTGTTTATATTTCTCATATGCCCAACTCTCTTTTCCAATATCATATATAACTCAGTCTTCCATTTTTTAAATTTATACTTAGAACTTGAGGAAACAAAACCAATTGTTTTGTGTTACAATGATACTGTTTTGTTTTGTTTTGTTTTGTTTTGTTTTTAAACAGAACTTGAAGAGTCACGACAGAAGTGCCCACCTTGCTGGTACAAATTTGCAAACATTTTCTTAATCTGGGACTGCTGTCCGTGCTGGCTGAGACTAAAGCATATTGTTAACATCATAGTGATGGATCCATTTGTTGACCTTGCTATTACAATTTGCATTGTTTTAAATACATTGTTCATGGCAATGGAACATTACCCAATGACCGAAAGATTTGCTGAAGTCCTTAATGTTGGAAACTTGGTGAGCTTGGATATTGTACTTTTAAATATTGTTTGTTCCAATGATGTGGTTAATAGCAGCACTAAGTGAAAAATTACATTTTCCTTTAAAAAAAAGAAATGAGTGGCCTTGAATCCTGGATATATATTGTTAGCAATATACACTGAAAGTGCTATTTTAAAAAAACGATATACACTTAATTTTGTGTTCATATGCCTCAAAATAAGAGAATTTATTTTGTGGTTTGATTTCAGTGTAATAACAAAGGAAGGTGAACAATATTTTGTAAAGAATGTATTAAAATATAATAAAATATTGGGATTATCAAAAGCAACTCTATTTAATATTTAATGCATTGCTGTATGTCATTTTAGGCACTTTTAAAATAAATAGAAATACATTGATAATGCAACAATCACAGTGTTATGGTTTGATAACTTTTGAATAAGTAATTTTATGAATTGACACAGCTCTACTAAATTCATCCTCAATCAAGCCTTCTTCCTACCTAATTTGTAGTTAACAAATTATTTCTGGTCCTCACTGCAAGCTAAATGGCAAGGTACCACAATAAATTCACAAGTGCTAAGCTCCCTTTATGACATTCCAATTTCTCATTGTTCATAAAGTAATCTGCCCCATCGTTTCTGCAATCTACCTGAAATTCATTGATCTACTGACTACTACAGCTATTTATATTATCAGCATATATTCCAGTATATATAAAATATTTATATCAAAGTGTTAATGAAAACCCTTTGAAATGAGCCCTTGGAACTGCCTACTTTTTTTTTTTTTTTCCAATCTAAGAGAAATAATTAAACTTAGAAGAGGAAGTACCTAACATACAGTGACATTTGACAAAGCTAGCATACTTGGCGTAATGACTAAGGTGCTGGCTAGAAACTAGGAGACTGTGAGTTCTAGTCCTCCCTTAGGCATAAAAGCTAGCTTGCATGATTCTCAGCCCAAGCCACCTTACAGGGTTGTCGCCATAGGGAAAATAGGAGGCAGGAAGATTAGGTGTGTACTCTGCCTTGGGTTGACCAAAAATAAAGGTGGGATAAAAAATCAAATAAATAATAAGATTAAAAACTTCTCATCTATTCACTTAAGGCAATTGCATTGAAAAAGTATGCAACAAAAAGTTTATAGTCTCGATCAGCCTTCCCCAACCCTGATACCTTCCTAAAGGAGGAAGAGTTAACAATTCGTTGAGATCAAACTTTGTAGTTTCCCTATAGATGAAAGAGCAGCAGTGGGCAGCCTAATTATGGGGTTCCCTCCTCCCAGTGTTTTACTGCTGATGATTTTAAATCTCCATTCCTTATTGCATTTAAATTGAGACCATGCAGTTTAATTTTGCTTTACCAACTGGGATTAATTCCTAGTTTGTAAGCAAAAAATAAACTTTCATTTGAATGACACAGAAAAGGGCAATTTAAAACATCCAGAATAAAAATCTTACAGCCAAGCATGTGAGGAAAGAAGCTGAAAGGTGAAAAGAGTGCTGCTGCAACTTCTTCTAATAATTGTCATTTCCACATTGTTACGAAGTATAGAACTGTGTGTTTGTGCACACACATTTAGAGCTGATCTTTGTCTTGCTACCTATTTTAAGTATTAGAATTACCAATCTGAGCAATGTGTTACTCTATGGGAAATAAAAGATAGGCCAATCCTAACATTTGTACCTATCTGGAGTTGCTTTGGATAGTTGGATAAATCATCTTTCCCCTGCTCAAAATCTCAACAGATTCTTAGGGGAGAAAATGTTGCACAAGTTTCCAGTATGGTGCCTCCAGTTCCAGTGTGCTGTTTTAAAACAGACCAGTAAATGAAATTAAAGTATGTAATACATTTGAAGATATAATCAGTAAGAAAATCTGAATAAATCTATCAGTCGCAATTTTAAGCTTTTGTAAATTGATTAATGTGCATGTCACATTTTAGGTTTTCACTGGAATCTTCACAGGAGAAATGGTTCTTAAACTAGTAGCCATGGATCCATATTATTATTTCCAAGAAGGCTGGAATATTTTCGATGGTGTTATTGTCACCCTTAGTTTGGTTGAACTTGGCCTTGCAAATGTGGAAGGACTCTCAGTTCTCCGATCGTTCAGACTGGTAAATTATTTTATTTAACAAACCTATGTTCATCACCTTTACCCATTTGGGATGCTTAAAATTAATTGATTTTGATGCTGAACCACAATTTCAGAACTGAACACTCTTCTTTCTTAATGCTCAAAGTTCTAAGGTTGTATCTGATGACAGTCTCTTGGAGTGGAGGGATTTGTCTGGAAGATAGCCACTGCGAATCTTTTCAGATCTGTTCCAGAAGGGTGGGGATTGAATGGCAGAGGGGGAAATGATACAAGAAACTGCTGAAAAGTGGGAAGGTAGCTAAAATTAAGTTCTACTATATTCCATCAATGGAAGTCTCTGCTGGAACTAGGATCATTTAGTAAGAGCCTTATATTAATTTTAGTCTTCTGACTTTCTGTTGTTTTCCTCAATGGTGGGACATCACTGGATACACATAACCCTAAGATTTTTAGCTTTTTTATAGAAGTAGCTTGAATGGAGAATATAAGCTAGATGGAGCATTTTTTGATAAAAATTGGTTGCACTTTAAAACTAATTATTTATAAAACTCATAAAGTTGGTCTTAAATGTAAATAGGATTTCAGTTTTATACTGTAAATTATGATGAAGTCTGACTGGAAGTAAATTAATTAAATAGCCTTTATTTTTAAATAATGATGGTTGTATTTCAGTGTTATAATATGTGAACACCAATTTATTTCAGCATAATTTGGCTCCACCTGGTTATTTTTAATTAATTTGTCTTGTCACTTACTGATCTTTTTTGGTCACTATTTTGTTTTTCAGTTGCGAGTTTTCAAATTGGCTAAATCTTGGCCAACGCTAAATATGCTGATCAAAATTATTGGAAACTCTGTTGGTGCTTTGGGAAATCTGACTTTGGTCCTGGCCATCATTGTCTTCATTTTTGCTGTGGTTGGTATGCAGCTCTTTGGTAAAAGCTACAAGGAATGTGTGTGCAAGATTGCAAAAAATTGTGAACTCCCTCGCTGGCACATGAATGATTTTTTCCACTCATT